ATTTAGCAAGTCATGACTGAAAAACAAAACATGCCTTAATGCAAAAAGGCAGCTAGAACCCTAGCACCAACTTTTGGTTACGTATTTTGAGAAAGCCAGAAATGCCCATTAATGTACTGGCAGCAGCTGTGTGTGCCAAGTGATGTGCTTCTTCATGTAAGATGAACATTTTCAGATTGTCCTCTGGAGACAACTATAACTGATGTTACCTCCCTTTTCAGGATTGCCTAAGAAATGGAGTGAAAGTGTTTTGTATGTTCATCCCATGAGCCTTTTATCTTTTATCTGTTGTTATGTTATTCCATTTCTTACACTTTGCTTAAACTGCACTTCAGAAATCTGTATATGCATGCATTCACATCCCAAATGAATATATTAGTTATTTATTGCATGTTTGCCCTGCCTTTTTTTTTTTTAAAGCATCAAAGCTGACTTACCCGGGGGCCTCCCACATTGCATTCCCATAGCAAAAACAGTCTGAGATAAGGTGGGGTTGAGAAAGAGACAGACTAGCCCCATGTACCCAATGATCCCCAAGACTGAGCGGGAACTTGAAGCTGGGACTTCCAAGCCCTTTAACCACTTCTCTGTTCTGCGGTCCTTGTCACCAAGAAGTAATTTAGAGAGGCCAGACCAGGAGTCAGCAAGAAAAAGCTTGAACCAAGATGCTGGAATTCCAAGAGGCTCAGGAAAGAGATATTTTTCCCTCTTTCCCTCCTCTTCTCTAGCCTAAATGCCAGTGCATTTATCCAAACTAAAATTATGTATTTTATCATACTACTAGATAAAGAGCTAGCATACCAAAGCAATGATAAGTAAAAGCTGTAAAAAAAGAGGGAACAAATAAGATGATTAAGAACTGTAAAAAAAATAAAATAAAATAAAACTCCATTTATAAATGTAGGTTTATAGATATCTAGTGGTTTGTTAAACTAAAGCCACTGAATAATAGGAGTAAGCATATATTGTTTACTTGAAAAGCACTGTAACTATTGTATGGCACTTTTATTTCCCAAGTTTCAATAAAATGCCAATAAGAAGACTTGAGATG